AGTTGAGGTATACCTATGATGAAAATTACAGGCCTCTCTCATCTTTTTAAGTGGGAGAACTTGCACAATTGGTGGCTGACTAAATACTTTTTTGCCCCACTGTAGTTACAGATAAGAAATGTTTTTTTTCTTTTCTCACAAAACTGTTGTTTTACATGTGACAAATGGTTGGGTTTTTCCCAAATCACTTTAAGAAGCTTCTCTAAAATGTATTCACCTATCATACCCAGTCAGGTTTTACAAATGTATATACCCAAATTGATTCCTTTTTTATTAATACTTAATCCACTCATTTTCCCCTCATCCAGCCAAGTTTGTTTGTTTCTTTAGAACATTTATATAGCCTCTGAACCCAAACATGACTCTGGGCAGTATACAAAATCATTAAACAAAAATATGAAAGAAGAATAGTACATACCAGTAAAGTAAACTAAAACAATTAAAATCAGGACTAAAATATTTTATATCTCATATAAACTCATCCTGACCCAAGTGCCCAGGGAAAGAGCCAGATCTTAATTGCCCTTCTGGAAGCCTGTGGGGTTGAGGCCAACCATATATCAGTGGTTAGGGAAGATAATTCCAAAGGGCAGGGGCTGTCACTGAGAAGGCATGCTTCCTGGGTCCACAAGTGACACTGTTTCCAAGAAGGGACCAGGTGTGTGCTTTCTTTGTTGAGGTATGTGGGATGGGCAGATATCTTTGGGAGAGAACAGTCCCACAAATAATCCATTCTTCTGCCATGTGGGACTTTTAATAGCCAGCACTTTGAATTGCACCTGGAAGCATATAGGAGCCAGTGCAACTTTCAGAGTAGAAGTGTTACATGGATGTAATGAGGAATTCCCATAGCTACCTGTGCTGCTACATTCTAGACCAATTGATTACTCAGTTGAATCCCTTCTACACATATTGTCTTTCTTGCTGGATGCACTCTCTCAGACATAATCACATATCCCATCTTTTAAACATATGTCTCATTTCTCCCAGCTGCACCATTACCCTACCAAACTTCTCTCCAGTAGCTCTGTTCCTTCCATCTTTATTTCCTCTAGCTTACCAGGGGCTGATGAAGAGGGTTTTCCCCCCCTCATTCAAATTATTTTTTTTCAGGGTAGCTAGGTGTGTAACAAACTGCAGTGCTGGCACTCACATACACAAGCTTTTTTAAAAGGGGCATTAAAAGAAAATGGCTGAAGTACTATTTATTGATGCTGTTTCATGGCTCAACTTTGGGCAATCAGACTGGCTTCATTTTCTTGCTCAGTTGGAAACACTTCTAATAAACATTAGATACATTTTGAAAGAAGCTGCTTCCTTTTTATAGTTATAGAGAAAATGCAAAAGGTACTTAAATGTTCAAATGATAGAAATGTGACTTTCACTGACATTCATTTAACTAAAAACCTCATTTTGGGTGGTTTATAGATTCGAGAGGAAGATAAGGGCCCTGTTTATCTATATTTTGAAAGTATGATGACTTGTGCTCGTGTGCGAATATATGAACGGAAAGTACGGGAAAAAGGTCAACAGGAAAAGTGTCCCTGGAATTGTGAAAAACATATTGAAAAGGTAAAATATTATTTGCTACTATATAATGTATCTCTTTAAGAAAAGTGATAAACCGTAGTTTATTGGGTCAATGTTAAACTAGCTAGTACAGGTAGTTCTCGCTTAACAACTGTTCATTTAACAATAGTCTGGAGTTATGACAGCCTTAGGAAAAGTGCTTTACGGCTCCCACAGTCCCGTGATTGCAGCTTCTTACAACAGTTGTTAAGCAAATCACTACTGTCGTTAAGCAAGTCATGTGGTCATTAAGTGAATCACGTGGTCGTTAAGCAAATTCTGGCAAAAATGTCCATGGGGGAGCTGGATTGATTTAATGACTATGTGATTTGCTTAACAACCATGTGGTTCACTTAACGACCATCATAAAAAGGTGATAAAGTCAGCTCTGATTCATTTAATGACCAAATTGCTTAGCAGCCTAAATTCTGGTCCCTATTGTGGTCAGATAGTGAGGACTGCCTGTACTGTAATGGGACATGTTTGGTAACAACCAAACCAGATATGAAGCTAAACCTAGGGAAAAGAACCAAGATACTGTCATGAACCACAATTCAGAGTCTGACTCTGACAGTGTTGCTCCAGCTGAGCCTTTGGAATGTCAGCCTCAGGAATCATCTGAGGCTGATCAGCTACAGGCATCTCCTGATCAGCCGGAGTAATCAGATGATGAGGCATGACCCCCAAGCTCCAGATCCAGGCACACAGAGGCGAGCAGAGTAGCATCAATCAGTGAGACTCCTCACAAGGCAAAGGAAAAGGCCTGAATAATTGTAGCCAGTTGCCAGCAGAGAGATTTGTGTAGCTTGCTTTGCCTTCACTCTCTTGGAAACAACTGTTTGGGAATCTAGCTTGTGTCTTGTGTTCCTGTGTATCCTGTTCTTGAATTCCTGACTTCTGAACTGGCTGACTACCCGATTTGGCTTCATGACTTTTGGCAATGTAACTAGACTACTCTTTTGCTACTTGGACTCCAGATGGTACTTGCTTTGCTAAGTCTTTGATTTACAACTTCTCTGCTGTTATCTGCTTCTGCTGTTTGGCAACTGTTAGCTGACTGCTACCTTGAAACAGAACAGATACTACCAAACTAAATTGTTAATGTGCTTCACTGCTGGCCAAATCAGTAATTATTTGTTCTGTGTTTGGAGCCTCTGGAATACTGTTGGGAATCGGGTTGTAGTTCAGCCTCCCCCTCCCTTTCAAAAAGCATAGATGAGATCCTTGGAAGGCAGTACTATACAGTGTTGCTGGAGGGTCATAGAGTTACCTTATTAACTCTACTTGTTAAAAGAAGTTTCACTGAGGATGATTTCATTTTGGATTTGCTTTTTATTCTTGGAGTAGAATCCTAACATCTCCAGGAAAGTTGGGAAATTACTTTCATCTGACATTGCTTTAAACAGGAAGATACATTCCTAAACATAATATAAATTATATTTTCTCATAAACATACTTTTAATGTTTTCAGTGTTGTTTTCTGTTTTCTGTTATGTCTCACTTGTCACTGATCACAGTAAGAGGTAAGGTACACACACACACAGACACATTTAGTAGTATGTAGAATTTTATGCACAGTGGTTTTACAATCTAGTTAATTAATACCTTGATTTTTTTGTGTGTTTTACCATTTGTATTTATAGTGTGTAGCCATCTGAACCATTTTATTTATTTTTATTGATTTTCTACTACTGTTTTTTACTCAGAAAGCTTATGTTACTAATTAGATAGTTGAAGAGAGATTGAAGAAACTTGGTTATGTTTAGCCTTGTGAGAAGATAACTAAGAGTAAATATGATGGTACTCTTCAGTTACCTGAAAGGATGTCACACTAAAAAGATCAGGATCTGTTTTGTCTTGTTCCAGAAGGCAAGACATGAAATAATGGATTCAAATTGCAGGAAGCAAAATGTTAGAAAGGCATCCCTTCACTGGATGAGTTCAAGAGAAGCTAGACAGCCATGTTTCTGGGATGTTTTAATTTGGATTCCTCTGCTGTGTAGGAGATTGGACTCAGTGGCCTAAATGGCCACTGCCAAATTCCATGATTCTGGAAAACAAATATTTTCCAGTTTTAAATTAACGTAAGGCATATTTTCTTTCTCGAAATAACAAAACGAAAATCTTGCCAGTGAGATTTGCCCTTGTGGGCTTCTTTAATTTCCCAGTATTTTTCAGTGCTTCAGAACATGTGTGGGCAAAGCTAGCTCTCTTCTGTAACTCTTAAGATTAGCTGTACCTTTTCTCAGGATTTTGTAGCATCTTAGGTAATCTTAGCTGATCTCAGAAAACTAAGCTGAGTTAGATCTGGTGAGTACTTGAATGGGACTCTACCGGGACATATCAGAGCTGTAGATTAGAATGGGAAACTGAAAAAACATTCTGGAAAAAACATTCAGTGGCATATGATTTCAGTGTTATTACCACCACCACCACCAAGAGCATGGAAATGTTCCTGAAATCACAAAGAATCAAGCTTAACTCAAAAGAGACTGTTTTACATGAATAGATATGTAAGACTAATTCAGTTTTTAGTCCTTTTTCTTTTCCTTTTTATGTAATACTTTCTGGCCGTGATCCCATTTAATTGCAAGTATCCCTCCTGGGTTTATTAGCCATCCCTGTGATGGAATGTATCTATGAGGCAAGGGAGTGATGTGATGGATAGCAGTAGAGAGCAAGGTTCTCAGGAAGGAGGGGGTGAATTCCAGGAAGGGCAGAGAGACAAGAGACAACACAGTCTGGGGCAGGAGCGGGGGAAGTGTAAATGATTTAGAATGGCCACTCCCTAGAATCCCAGGGTATATCCACTAGTTGCAATAGTAGAGATTTAGTCTGGCAAGATTCTGCCTATATGGTGTAAGCAATTAAAGAACTGAATTTGGATGAACTGTTTCCCTGTTGTTCTTGGATTGGGCCTGACAATGCCTGAAAGATGGGGCTGTGTCAATAGAGAAAAGGTTATGCCTACAGTCCTTGTGAAAATCAGGTGAATATTTGGTTCTATGTGAACAGTGACAATACAGGTAGTTCTTGTTTATCGACCACTTGTTTAGCAACCATTCAAAGTTGTGGTGGTGCTGAACAAGGGGTACTGTGATGGAATGTTGTTATGAAGGCCACGCTCAGGGAGATAAGCGTTTCCTTAGCCCCCAATAGGAGCGTGGGAAGTTTAAGAAGATGAGACTGGCACCACCCTAAGGAATTCACAGTGTTGTGGCTTTCTGGATTGGGGAGTTAGGTTTAGTCTGGGGGGGTTTTTGTGTTTGGGTGGGAGGCGATAAAAG